GTGTAACCCATGGTTTTCTTGCTATCTTCTCAACTTTACCAACCAAATCACTGATAGTATCTAACGTGCATTCTTTTATATTGTTCCACTGTGCTTCAGCATTTCCGCTTTCACCTTTAATTGCACCGAGTTTCTCTTCTAGGGTCTCTTGCACGCTTTGTCTTTGAGCATATAACTTCTCCAAATCCTGTCTGGGCCTGCACTTTCGAAATCTTATAATTTTCTTCAACCTGGTTCAGAACTTGGCAACCAGTAAGTTGTGGTGAGAGTCAATATCTGCCCCAGGTAGCGTCTTCACATCCTTCACACTGTTTCTGAATCGATGCTTCCCAAGGATGTAGTCCATCTGATGCCTCCTCCAATCCCAGGTGCCTTCCATGTGTAAATTCTTCTCTTTGGCATCTTGAACCAAGTGTTGGTGACAATCAGTCCATTTCATTCACAAAAGTCAATAAGCATTTGACCCCTGTGATTCCATCTTCCTAGTCCATGTGATCCAACAATATTCTGATATGGTTCATCTCCAACAATGCTATTCCAGTCTCCCAATATGATGCTGTTTGTGTCACCTCTTCCATCTTCCTGAAGAATTTCTTCAATTGTGTCATACACTTCTTCCACTTCATCATCTTCATACTCTGATGTTGGCATGTACACTTGCACAATCAGTATATCTACCGGTTCTGCCTTTAACTTCAGAGCAATAATTCTGTCATTACAAACGATCTTCTTAACAACACTCCTCACTGCACTTTTATGCACCACTATTGCCACACCTCTTTCAGCCCGTTCACCTCCGGAATAATACACTGTATAATCACCACTTCTTATTTCACCTTGTCCTTTCCACCGCACTTCGCTGACACCTAGAACAGACATGGAAATAAAAAAACAGGCAGTGTTCTAAGTAGCTTTGACTATTTTTCCACATAGTCAACACCCCGGTTCATGTGTTTGTCTTGTCACACCACTAGTTTGGAGATGCCGCTGTTGTAGAATTAGGCCGGTTGAGCGCGGAACCACCACCAGACAGCGGTTTTGGCGTCGTCATCAGTAATGAACCTCTGGCCTGCCAGGAACTTCTTCAGTGGATCTTCCTGGATCTGAATGTCACCGGAGATGAAACGTGGGTATTGCATTTCACTCCAGAATCCAAGCAGCAGAGCATGGTGTGGAAACAACCCGGTTCGCCTGTCACGAAGAAATTCCGCGAAATGCCATCTGTCAGGAAGTTGATGGTCAGTCTTCTGGGATCGCCGAGGACCACTCCTGCCATCATCAATGTGGACAGCTATTGTGGCACACTCGCACGTCTGTGAGCTGCCATCAGGAAAAAGCGCCCGGGGATTCTCATGGATGATGTGATTCTCCTCCGTGATGACAGGCCTCATGTGGCAAACAGGACTGCCACCTGACTGCAGTCATTCGGATGGGAGATTATGGAGCATGCACCGTATAGTCCAGACCTCACCCCCCCAGTGATTACCACATGTTCGGTCCACTGAAGAAGTTCCTGCCAGGCCAGAGGTTCATTTCTGACGACGAGAAAACAGCTGTCAAGCGGTGGTTCCGTGCTCAACAGGCCAAATTATACAACAGCTGCATTTCCAAACTAGTGGTGTGATGGGACAAATGCCTGAACCAGGGTTGTGACTATGTGGAAAAATAGTCAAAGGTACTTAGAACACTGCCTTTATTTTCATTTCCTTGTATATGTATTATTGTGGCTGAAAAAAAATAAGGGCAAAGACTTTTCGACTTGCCCTTGTATAATACAGAGGTAATTATGCAATATTATATTTACATCTGAATTAAGATAAATCTTCCACATTTTTCCTCATTTCAACACATCTGCTGTGAAACACATTAGAGGATGCATGTAACACTGAGATTGTTAGCAGCACCTATACCTCTCATTTCATCACCTGAATACTGGAGTGTACTATGGCCACCAGTACCAATTTTTTAGAAACTGGGTTTGAGGTCCAGGAATTAAGTGCAGTTTAAATGTGACTTAGAACAAAACACATTATGAAATTTTACACTTGCAAATATGGTAAACACATGGAAATATGTGATAATGATGTAACAGAATACAAAGAATTATAAGGTAAAGCTATCCCTGTAACAGGCTGTGGAAGCCCACAGGGTTGTGAGATGCTCAGGCTAACACATTCTCTAGACAATTGGCTCACAGATGGTGGCAAGGTTGTCAGCCTTACACACCTGCTGCCCTTTACTCCCAGGAAGATTCCTGGTACTCAGTTCTGCTAGAGGCTGAGTCGACCCCAGGACCACAGTGCGGCTGGAAGAATTGAGTAAATTGAAAAAAATCTAATGATCTCATTGGGAATTGAACCTGCAACCTTCCAGCTTGTAGCATAGGGCCTCAACCAAGTATGCTATCATGTAACCTTGCACAGAGAATTAGAAAAGTGTATTATCTCATTTTGACACAAAAGGGAGACAGAACACTCCAGTACTAGGGCGATGATTTGTCAGCTTCTCCATTAGTAGGCTGTACAATGCAATTCAATTTTCTGTGCATGAAGGAAGAGTTTTGCTGTCCAGATGCACATACATCATCTAATAGCAAATGGAACATTGATTTCAGCAAAAAATTACTTTAATTAAACAGGATAAATGGTCCTTGTGTCAAAACACCTCAACATGGAAGCATATACAGGATGGTGAAGTAAAGCTACATGCTGTAACTGCACCATCGAAATCCTTCCCCCCCCCCCTTTCTTTTCAGTAGCTAACAGAGTTTAATAGTAAGAAGTTATGGAGAAAACAAAGGTTTAATTAAGACATACTGTAAGAACAATGAATAGCCGATGAGCAGATAGACCAAACTTGCACGGACAAGGACATCTGCTAGTCCTTACATCCAAGCATCTGGTGTATTTTCCAAAAGAACAGAAAGTGATACTTCAAGAAACCCACTGAGTTTCTTTAGAAATTTAGAAATAGCACTACAGCAGCAAGACACTTCGAGAATTCGAGAAGTGACAGTTTCTACCAGCTGTAAGTCAGAAGTGGGAGTGTCAGATCATTAGCGACCCCTAATAAGTTGCATCACTGTCAATTTCGCTGTTAGTGCCATTAGGAAGAACAACAATAAAGTGTTGTGGTGTAAAGTGCATAGTGCTGATCAGAGGTGTTTCACCCTCACTTGTCCGAGCCTGACCCTTATTCGACCTGAAGAGAGACTCATTTCCACTAGCTAGTCAAACCCACTGTCAGCTTCCACATGCCCACCCCTTCCCCACTTACTATCGAATTGTAAACAGCCTCTAGCTGTTTGCTGGCGCCCATATTATGGGATCCAATCCTGAAATCCAACCACTAATAATCTCAACTGAAGGAATACGTGGTGGAGCCGGGTCAAGCCGAAACCAGCTACGACCTAGCAACTTCAGCAGCAGCAACACCAGGTAAGGCAGAGTCAAAGTGGTCCTCGGAGCAGAGGGGCTGATCACCATCGACTACCACTCCCTGCACTACTATTCAGATGGAGGCGCAGGAGAAAGAAAGGAGGAACGGTTACAATGCATTCAAGATCTTGGCAACAGATGAAGATACACAGTCAGCTTAACACAATGGCAACTTTACCCTTGTATACTCAATAGCAAGGCTACTGGGTAGACCCCAGAAGTGGTCTGTCAGGAATTAATTCCAAGTTGTCCTGCCTGTAACCAGTAACCTTCCTGACTTCAATGAACAAGCTGGAGGAGAGTGACGTATAACTGCATTTACTATGCTTCTGAGAGTGCATCATCTCCAGTGACACAGATCATTCTGCTGGCACTAGAAAGTAACTAGACTGCCGTAGGACTAAGGGGTGGGTAGTTAGACAATACTTATACACTCCGTCAGCCAACTCTCTTTGGCTATTCCCGCCGCTGTCTCCAAATTGTACAGCTGCAGGGGGGAGGCTCGGGAAATTTATTATAAACTGACGTAACTGCCGCCTTGGCTTGAGTTTGCAATTCTCCTGAAGGATTCGGGGAGGTGCAGGAGTCATCAGGGAGGATGGTAACACTTGCGAGAAGGCTAGGTTCAATTAACATTACACCTCATTCCTATCCTATTCTATTCATCTACATCACTATATACATCTTATATACACAATTTGCCGACGTTTGTCAGTTCGCATTACATTTGGGTTATTATCCTGTCGTACATACATTAGTTCTACTCCGGTCACCCTGCTATTGGCTATCCTATCCCTCTGTCTCACTTTCTCTTCCTGGGGGTTTGCACTTTAATATTATCGCACTTAATGTTCATGGCTTATATGAAGTAGGTCCACTTACTTGTACTGATGAAACAGGCACACACCTCCACCCAATATCTACTCATCGCCATCTTTCTCTCGACGATAGCCTCCGGCAGCACACTATTGACAATTAATAATAATCTTTTTTTCTGATTGATCCCTCCAGCGTTTTTGTACTCTCTTTTTGCTGACTCGCTGGGTTCCTGGGGTGTATTCACCCGCCCATCCTGACGTGATTTTGGTCGGTGTGGCCCACTCATTGGCTGTTTATCGAAAGGGGGTTGGCTCTTTCAGGTCTACCGCCCTCTCCGACTCAGCGACTTCCTAATGCCCTAGTTCCTTATGTCCCACTTCATATAGTCTCTTCCTCCATGTCAGCGTTAATACGCTGTCGTGCTAACATTCTGATTACAAAGCGATTGCTTCACTACTGGCGTTATACTTCTTTGCAAACCCCACTTCCTAGCACATTTCATTATTTCTATTTTTTAATCTTAAAGTCTAGATACACTTATTCCAAATTACCCCCCCCCCCAAAAAAAACATATCTACTTGTACATAACCTTTGGGCCATAACAGACAGAAATTGAAAATTNGCCAAATCGGGACTGTATGGCGGATGTGTCAGAAGGTTCCATTTCAATTTCCGGAGGGTTTCCATTGTTGTTTTGGTCATATTGGGGCGTGCATTGTCTTGAAGGAAGGCTACCCGCTTTCCACCTGTCTTCCGCTTGGATCGGATCTTACTCCAAGTTCCTTAATAGTGATGCGCCTATTCTCACGAATAAGCACGTCTGCACGATCAATGTTTGGCTCGGTGATGGATGTTCGCGGCCAACGATCATGCGGTTCATTCTCCATGCGCTCTCTGCCCTCTCTGAAGCACTTACACCACTCAAACACATGGGTCCGTGAGAGACACTCTTCTCCATACTGTTGTTGGAGTCTGTGGTGAATTTCAGTGGACTGGACGTTATCGCCAAGGAATTTGATCACAATGCGTTGTTCCACGCTCTGCGGTAGCTTCTGTTCTCTCATCACTCTAGCAACTACCAGAGGACTGAACAGGTTCTAACCCTAACAGGAGAGTGGGTGGAGGTTGTGGCTTCACTCTCGCAAGGTCTCACAGCTGCTGCGAAGTGCGGCTTGTTTACAAAAAAATCAGTCCCGGTCATATTTGAACCACCTTGTATGACCTTTCTTCCACAAGATTGTCTACTTAAGGTATGACATACACTCAATACACGTTTTACACGCAATTTATACAGAATATTTCAACATGATGAATGAATGAGGTATTCTGTAAGTATATAACACTTGTAGAAAAGTACGAAACAACTCTGCACTGGGAGATGTTTCTATTCAATTTTCCATGGATATGGTAATTTGCATGTGGTTGTTTAAGATAATGGTAAAGGCAAGGTAAGGTAAAGTTGTCCCTGTGCTTAATTAAGCACTATGCAATGGAAATGTATGGTGACTGGAGATAGAGCTCCACCATTCTTGATCTTCTCACCCACTGGATAGGAGGCTGGGTGGGCCTAGAAGAAGTCTGGACACTGTGGAAAAGAGAAAAATCTCTTGCCCCTACCAGGTATTGACTCCCAGCCATCCAAAGTACAGCCCACTGCAATACCAACTGAGATATCCCAGCTCACAAGATAAATGTACATGTGACATAAAATCTTAGACCACTTACAGTGATAACTTTTAAGTCCTGTAAGATAGGATACAACTCTTTTTCTGTTGCCGCTTCAAATACAAGCTGCATGTGTTCAGAACCACCCACTGTGCTGAGACCAGCAGACATGTCCTGGTTTGCCAGTTCACTCCACACCCTGTGAATGAAGTTTGATGGCAACACAGCATTAAATTGAAACTTATACTGAAGCAATGTTGCCAGAAGATCTAGTGAACTCTTGATGGAAGATGACTGAGTAGGCAAGTCCTTGCTTCGTATTTGAGACAGCTGGGAAGAGAGAAAGTCAATAAATTACATATTTTAACATCTGTATGAGTAAGCATGTATCTTTATGTACAAATGAATGTGGACTGAATATATGTTAATGTTGTCTACTTCTGCTTCAGCAAACATTCATGTTTATTTATAGTTCTTCAGTTTTGAGACATTAGTCAAATGCTGATTACTTTGCGAAAATAACCACTGCCAGATACATCTATTCCACCTCTCTCAAGATGTAATTGAACCTGGGTGTCCAGTCGTATACTCTGATCTCCACTCTGTAAGTGATGGGTGGTTAATTAGTTAGTTACCCTATGAAGCAAGTCATGCCTTACTGGGGTATCTTCTCCTAGGGTTGACTGGATATACAAAATAGACCAGTCTGTTACTTTTTAGCAGGAGTTAAGTGTCTATCCAGAAATAAAGATCTGACTTGCATAATTTTTTTTAGTTTAGCAGAAAGCCCTGGGATCTTTAAAGGGGCAAACTGGTAAGTTATGTTGTTGAGGGAGCTGTGTCTTTAGGTGCAAGTCAGAGGAAGAAGTGTATGTAGGCCATGCTGATTGATCTTCTCTGTGCCAGACTATTAAATCTACATCTGAGTTCACTCTGTTCATCACGCAGCTACTCCAAATTTCTCTTTCGCAAGTGAATGGATGATGAACCAATTTGCTGTACAATTTTGACATCTGTACAGCAGGAGATGGAGGTATCAAAATTATACTGAAAAATGTAGACACTGGAGAGGGCAGTATGTTTCTGATGTCTTAACACATTGCGGACCGGAGGGGCCATATGGCCCTCTATGTTTCCAAGCGTTGCGGACCGGTCGGGCCATATGGCCCTCTACGGTCATGTTATGTTGCAAAACGCTATATATCGCTGTGTGGCTTCGTTGAATCATAACTACTGCATAGATGACCTCGGGAATGATTGCTGCCTTATCTAGTAACTCAACCAGAGTCATTTCCTGTCACAACCTAAACAAAATTGGCTTTGTTCTAATCCAAGCTTGCACGTATGAACCATGCAGCTACCAGTTCAACATGGCTCAGAGACGAAAGCAGTTGTGATCTCTCAGAGGACAGGAAATATTAGATATGTTCTCCGGTGAGCTATCAGATTTGCCAACTGCTTCGTCTTCTGATAGCGAGGCCATTATCAGTGACAGTGACGGGGCCCACAGGGCTGCCCAAAATGTGTCAAGTGAAAGTGAGAGCTCTGTTGAAAGTGCGAGTGTCGGGACAGCTACATGGGATAAAGTGGACAAAACCCCCACTTTGGGAAAGTTTACTGGTGATCCGGGGGTGAAGCAGATGCCATCGGACCCAACGGACGTGTCTGAAGTTGCGTCACTGTTTTTTGGAGATAGTTTCTTTGAGCTGTTGTGTCAGGAAACTAACAGATACTATCTCCAACACCATGAGGTGTATGACAGAACCAATAACGTTTTGAAGTGGGTGGACGTCACTTCAACAGAAATGAAAAAAATTTTTGGCTATAATCATTCTAATGGGGCTTACGAAGAGAGAAAGTTTGAAGGATTATTGGTCAAGTGACCCATTTTTAGAAATTGCAATTTTCGGCAAACTCATGAGTCGTAAGAGATTTGAACACATATGGTGGTGTTTGCATTTCAACAATAATGAAGTGCAACCACAATCAACGGGCAGGCTTTTCAAAATTCAGCCCTTATTAGACATTTTGGTTGAAAAATTTCAGACAGTTTATAAGCCAGAGCAACAACTGTCTTTGGACGAATCTGTGATTCCTTGGAGAGGAAGGCTTCGTATTCGAACGTATAATCCTGGGAAGCTCACAAAGTATGGCCTACTTGTTCGTGTTGTCACGGAAAGCACTTCAGGCTATACGGGAAATTTAGAAATTTATTCTGCTGAAGGCAAGAAATTGCAAGAAACTATTGTTTCTGTTTTGGGTCCCTATCTCGATCAAAATTATCACGTGTATCAAGATAATTATTACAACAGTGTGGCAACTGCAGAATACCTACTTTCAAGGAAAGTACGTATTTGTGGTACAATTAGGGTGAACAGAGGCCTCCCTCCAGATCTGAAAGAGGAATGTAAACGCCTGAAACGTGGCGACACCGCATTCAGGAGGAAGGGGGACATTCTTCTTCAGTCCTGGAGGGATACTCGCATTGTGAATATGGTTTCCACTATTCACAATTCGAGCATGGTCGATGTTCAAAGACGACACGGGCAAGTAAAGAAGCCTCTTTGTATTTCCGAGTATAATATGTTCATGAAAGGAGTTGATAGGGCCGACCAGTTCTTGGCCTATTATTCCCTTCCTAGGAAAACAGTAAAATGGACGAAGAAAGTTGCACTGTGGCTTATAAACTGCGCAATTTTCAATTCATTTACGGTTTTCAAAAAGGTGAACAGAAATTCTACTTTGAAATACAAACCATTTCTGTTGAAACTGGCAAAAGCTTGGGCTACTGACGTCACGGTGGCGGCAGTAACTGCGTCAGACACAGACGTAGTGCAGCCGGGGCCATCTGTTCACACCCACCGGAGGCCTCAAGTAGACCCCCCTGGCTGACTCTCGTGTGATATGCAGAAACATATTCTCGTGAAAATTGTGAAGAGTGAATACTGCAAGAAGAAACACCCTTCTAGGCAGTGCCATGTGTGCGAAGAGCACAAGAAGAAGAGTAGAACTGCCTACATGTGCAACTTCTGCGTAATGCCTCTTCACAAAGGGGAATGTTTCCAGAGATATCACACGCGCAAGCACTTCTAGGAGCTCTGGTAAGTGTTCTCCAAAAATTTCAGTTCATAAAATTAATTAGGAGATTTTATATTAATTTTTAAAGTGAACAGTGCACAAGTTAGGGTAGTAGGTTAAAAACACCGGTCCCCAGGGTGATTTAAATGTTTAAACCACCAGTCCGCAATGTGTTAATTGGTAACTCTGTCTGTGTTGCAATTAGAAATTATATTTTAAGATGCTGAATCAGGGCAAGATTGGTGGGGCATGTATAAGAGAAAATGGAACTGAACAGACAGTTTTGGTCAGAGGGCTTGGAGGGAGAAAATCACTTTGAAGACCTAGGCATAGATGAGAAGATATTAGAAGGGATATGAAGAGGGTGTAGATTGACTTAATCTTGCTCAGGATAGGTATCAGTAGGAGGGTCTAGTGAACACATTAATGAACCTTTGGATTTTGCAAAATGCAGGGGAACTTCTTGAATAGTTGAGGGACTACTAGTCTCTCAAGGAGAACTGTTCTCTATGGAGTTAGCTAAGGGGTTAAAATAAAATATTTAGTGCCTAAACTTTTTGGGTCTATTTACAAGAAGCTCAGAGCAACTTACACAAGCCTCAACAACTGTGCTGAGATGAGGTGTGAGCTTCTCCAGCTGCTTGGAGTCTCCTTCTTGAAGACACCATATTAACATCAAGTTGTACCCTTCAAAAACACTTGGAGAAGCAGCTGCACCATCCTGATGTTCCATTATCCTGACAATGCTTCGCAGAAGTCTGCGCTGGTACTTCAGGCATAGCGACTGATCTTCTGGATTTTCATGCTGTTAATAGCACTCAACATTAACATAGATCTAAATGTTATTTGTTTAGTTTTGCTTAATTCTAAGATGTGTCCTTTAAATCAAGTGCCCAGAAATGAAGAAGAACAAAAAACAAACTCTGTGGCCTGCCGTTCGCAAGCGAACTATACTGATTGAGTGACTGCTGCTTGTCAGCGAACTTAGTGCCAACTATTTTTTTTTGCAGATAGAGGGTGTCGTGTGGTAAGTGCAATGGATCCCCATGGCCGTTGTAACCGATCTGCAAACCTCAGCTTGATTTAATTTAGTAGCGTGTTTTCATCCAGGTAAATTAACATGTTCGATTATGTTTACTTGTAACATACAGCAAATGGACGAGAGGTACATAGGCTATTTCTTGCCCTCAAGAAAGAGTTTTAGCCCAAACTCTCAAATGAAAAGAAAAAAAGAAAAACGACTGGTCAACGCAGATGCGAAGTGAAACAGGAAGGCCACCTGCAGCTTGGCTCCTTAGAAAGTTACACGAAATTTTACTTGTCTGTGACCTTTGAGAATACAATATGTGACAATTTTGAACACCATAACTGAAAACATGGGATTTTCCACAACCCAAGCCAAGCGTAACATTTGTCAAGCTACTGACAAGATTTACGTTAAGCCTTTAGCACCTAAATTCCCTGTAATCCTTAAATGGATTGGGGGAACAGTTAATTAAGTGAACTCCTAGATTTCAAAGTGACCAATCCTCGAGATTTTGGGAGTGACTTGTGGACCAAGAGGAAACAGTCAGAGCTCCGAGTTTCGAGGAGAAGGCATTCTGCTGAGAGTCATATTCCGGCTCGCAAACTATTCGGATCCAAATTCAGTACCAACTAATTCTGTTACAAATTTTCTAAGTTACAGCCTCTGTGATTAGATAAACTGTGGGGTAGATACCTATCGACTAGTCATCCTGCCATGCAAGTACCTTTGCAACAAGCGGAGTGATTCTTAAGTAAAGAGAGCAAATTCAATCTAGTGCATTAGCGGTGTCCACTACTGACAACAGTTTTAATAACGTGGCTTGTGAATAAGTGTTGTGTGTGTGTGTGTGTGTAGTATCGAGAGTTCCACCTCCCCCTACCTGAGCGAAGCCCAGTTAAACGACCTGAGATTGATTCTTAGCTCTGCCACTTGAACTAGCATCTCAAAAACAGCATCCTCTTACAAATCATCCCCTCTGTCCTTCATAGAATTTTAAACGAATTCCATAAGTTTACTGGTGCCCAATCTTCTACCCATTTAATTGACAAAAAGAGGAGGTGGTAAGGAGGACGAGCGAGGAGAACCAAGCAGGCCGTAGCCGCAACCTAACAGCAGCAGTAGCCAGCAAAAGGGACGTGGCTCGACAGTTATAAGGGGGCGTCTGAGAGGAGAACGGAGAGAGGAAGGCGGCAAAAAGTGACGACAAACATGTGGGGCTTGAAGTCTCACTGAGTGGGTCAATTACACTGTTAATCTCGGTTTTCTAGATTGGAGCCACTATTTCCTTGAAACAGCTCCTCAATTATCCTCGCACGAATGAGTAAGCCCGTTCCAGACCTACTACTTCTCAGAAAATCTGGTAGCGCCGGGAATCGAACCCGGGACCTCTGGATTTGTAGGCAGGAACACTGACCACAGAGGCAGTTGCCCAGAAATGAAAGAATAAAAAATTACGATAATAAGAATTCAATCATTTTCAAGTATGTTCAGTGGCATAATGAAGATAGGGCATTGTAGTCTGTTTGATATATTCAACATGCCATGTCAGGTAGCTGAGGAACATGTTGTTAAATGGGAGGATGATTGCGATATTATGACTTGGGAAGGATCTGCAAGGGTTTGTGGCCATATTCAAAGTAATATCATAGCATTTGCCTTGCAGGACTGTGAACTCCCTTCCCCCCACAACCCGGGTATGAATAGTTAGCCTCTCTCATCTATGATGTTTAGGTCCCAAATACCCCAGTTAGCACATGATATGCCTAAGCTTGCAGTTCACCCAACATGCATCCCCAATGGAAAGAAGTTTTGTGAAAAGTCTGATGCCTGCTTCCATTCTTATGTGTCTGAATACGTGAACAATACAGCACAAAATTTTACAATTTAGCGATACATTTCTATGCATGATTTCCACATGTACAGGTTTACAGTCTAAATTCTTTGAATAGATGCCATGTCAACAAGATTTATCTCTCTAATAATTTACATAGTCCAGTACTTCATTAGCCATAAAAACAGAAGATCAAATATCTATTTCATTTTGCTGTCACACTGCTGTTTTATAGTTTTTATTTAACACCCCCACTCCAAAAAAAAAACCAAAGGAACACTTAGGAAATGGTGTTCAATTTCTGAATCTTCAGTATTACACAGAATATCAGGATCCTTCATTAAGTGCATTAATGTGACGCCCACCTCACAATTTCTTACCGTTGCCAGGTGGGTTGGGTTCTAGTTGCATCATGTTCATGCCAAAGGTTCATGAAAATCTATCTCCTGGCTCATAAGTTACTGGCAGGTGGTGAGAGAGGAGGAGAGACATGCACATGATGACACTGCTACATTTCCTCACAGAATAAAAACAGCAGACTACAAAATAATTTCTGAAATGCTTCTTACCTTGTTTAGAACTTGAAGGAGGGCAACAGCTGTTCCCAGAGTCTTCATATCTTGAGGCCACTGGCTGGACTGCTTCTGCAGTACTGGCATTTCATCCTGCAGCTGGTGCAGGGTGGAACTGCAACTTAAGCTTGACTCAAATAGCCGCTGGAACAGGAGACATTGCAGGTCTCTAGATAAAGGCAGGTCCAGATTTGTCAGCCAGTTTGCAAGCTGTCCAATACTGAGATAACTAGAGAGATCAGGCAGACCAGGGCTGTCCAGGAGACCTATAATGAAGAACAGTCCATAATTTGTATGTTTCTTTACAACCTCATATTCCACACTTCAGCTGGGATGCTTATGGATTTGTTACTCTATCCACTTAATTCCCAGATTGATGCAACATATATCTCTACATCCAGGTATGGTGTGCCATTGGAAGCAAAGTGCAACTGACTCTCATTGAAGTTCAAAAAACTTCTCAGGCCTCTCTTATGACCTCCTGGTTACACATCAAACCATTAGCTCAAAGTACATGAAAACAATGATAATTTTTCCTGAAAATATCATAACATATAGCCACGCATGTTTTATTTTATAGTTATCTATCTGGGACATTTTGATTAGGGCCACTCAATATAAGCATGTAGTACTGCAATCTCAGGGTATGTGGTAGCATAGTTGGTTGAGGCACTATGCTATAAGCCGGAAGGTTGCGGGTTTGATTCCCAATGAGGTCATTGCTTTTCTCAATTGACTTAATCCTTCCAACTGCACTATGGCCCTGGGGTCAAGTCAACCTCTAATAGAAATGGGTACCAGGAATCTTCATGGGGGTAAAGGGCAGCTGGCGTGTCAGGCTGACATCACTGCCATGTGTGAGCCGACTGTCTAGAAGATGTGGAGGCCTCGACATCTCACAACCTTATGGGCCTCCACAGCCTGTTAGAGGGACAGCTTTACTTTACCTTACCTTACTGCAATCTCACCTTTGTGTTCACTCTGTTGGCATTTAAAGCTTGATGTTATAATTACACTGTACTTAATGTGTAAACAAAGAGTTGTCATGTAAAACTGTTGTTACTTCTTTGGTTTCAATTTCTTTGATTTTCACTGAAAAATATATAATTCAATTATATTTAATATCTTTCACTTTAATCATTAAAAATTTGATTTTTTTTTTCGTTTTAGACAAATAATTTCATCATTTCTTCAACTTCTCTACAAAATGAAATTGAAGTGCCATATGAAATTTGCATTAAGTCAAAATTGCATAAGTCAGGAGATACCTGAAGTTTACATAACCAGTGATGAGACTCGCCATCGAAATCTCGATGGGCATTACAATAGTTTTTAACACTGAAATAATTGAGGATTTTTCACCTAACAGAAGATGTCTGTATAATAAGCTCCTGATGTTGGACAGCTGTTCTCCTCTTGATATGTCTGATCTCTCAAATGTGATTGCCAACGCTAGAATACTGACAACCAATAATGACTTCAGAATTCCTGGTGTGTGCTGAAGGGGTAGAAGCTCCAGAATATGCAGGTACCTACAAACAAGAACAATTTCTCAACTTTCTTGTAATCACACCATTGTGTAAACTTAATAATGATCTCAATCAAAACTTTTTTATTTCTGCACAGTAATAATGGGTTTCTCAATACCAAATCAAAACTGAATTATGTCTCAAGTACACCACCATAAATTTTTATGTTTTCCAATTTACTGGAAGATATACATATGAGTAAAGCAAAATTTCCTCCAAATTTTCAATTTCTTTATTATTAAATCCTTGCATATTAATTGATGAAATGAGGCAATTTTTAGCATGCATTGCAGACCATTTTCTTTCACAGATATGTCAATACCTCTTTATATAAAAAGAAATATAAAATTTGGCGTCCAGCAGTTTCTCTGAAGAAACTTATTGTTGCTGTCATGATTTGGGGCTTTTGAACTGTTGCAGTTTGCTCCAATGAAAATGCAGGAATGTCTGATGGGGAACAAAACCTCAAACACAGGTATCCATAGCAGCATTCTAAGAAATCATCACATGAGGTTAGTGGAAGCTTAGAGGAAGGCAAAATCTGTGTGCAAAGGAAGGGAAGAAACTGCATGGTGCCTCAGCAAAACAAGCCAAATGACATGGTACACAGAAACAAGCTACTGATCTGATGAGGAAATGCATAGGACATCACACGATGTATTTTCCTCAGTGGTTAAAACTTGGAGAGGATAGGCTGCCATCAGGTTCTGGAACACAAACTTTCTCACAGAGAAGGGTAAGAGAGAGAGGGTGGGTTATCAGGACCTTTCCATTCTCCTGCTGGCTGGTGCATGAGATACCAGAGTAGAAAACTGTCTTCCCATGATGAATATATTTACATACCTCTGCACACCCATCACATCAAGTTTCCATCCATCTGTAACTAAACTGTCCTCCTCCTTTTTAAAACTCCCATTCACTGCACTGGCCATGTCTCTCACAACTGGTGTCAGTGCTTCCAGATCATCCTTGGACATACATGTCAAGATATGACATGGATCTAACCTGGTCAACACTTTTCTAGCCAATGTGAGATGGACAACCTGGTGGCTGGCTCTGTCAATCTTCCTCTTTATCCCAGAGAACAACTTCATGATACATCTTAGGGCTGCACAAGTAAAGGCTACAACCAAAATTCTGGAAGTTAAAACAGACACAATGCCATAACACCACAATCAAAATTTAACGACTGTAAACAAGTTCACAATTTCTATAACACACTATGTCACATGGGTGTAAAGTGTGGACATTAAGATGACAGAGCAGTTAGTTAGTTATTTAGAGAGGGTGGGTTTCCCCATGCACCATGACCAGTTTGATCTATTGTGTTTCCCTCTATGATATTCTACCAGTCTCTATACCCTACCAATAAATGGTGCGTACCATCAGTCCCGCTGAGCAAGCGAGTTCGGCCACTTGCTTAGCGGTATCTATAATGCTTCCCCCATCCATCAGAGGCCTTAAAGACTATTGTTGGGCGGGAAACGTCCTGGAATTTGGCTCAGTGATCCCCTTTGGGGATATGAGGTTCTTTTACGTGCCGTAAAGTTACGACACGGGACACACAGCTTAAAGTCCTTCCCGGAGGACTTGTTCCCTGAATTTTTCTGCCCTTAAAAATTCGATGACCTCTGCCAGGTATTTGAACCCACGTACCATGAGTCATGAGGTGGGAATGTTACATCTAGACTATGGAGGCCGCTAAGATGACAGAGTAACTAACCCACTCACTCTTTAACAGAAGAACCTGAAGGAAAATCATTGCTAATACCAAAGCCTACCACTGGACATGATCCTGAGCTACCTCCATGCACTTGCCTGCTTTACAGTCCAACTCTTCTAATGTTATTCTCCAATCCCTTCCTCAGTCTTCCAAGTGGCCACTTATCAAGACGTTTCCCCAACAAAAGGCTTTCTTGTCCCCCCCATCCAAGCTACATGTCCTGTCTATAGTGTGAGTGAGTGTATAGGCACTTCAGTGTCTATGGTTATTTATGCATGGATAAGAATCAAACATTAAAACATTCGTTAACTAATTCAGTAAGGTAAAAAAGTAAAGTTGTCCCTCTGTTTAACTAATTAAGCACTACACCATGAAGGCACATGGGGGAGAAGATATATAGATCCGCATTCTCTTGACCTTGGCCCTAGGTGGAGGTGAGTGGTCAGCTTCATGCCCCTGCTGCTTTACCCCCAGGGAAATAGTCCCTGGTACCCATTGGATAGGAGGCTGGGTGAGCCCCAGAGTTGGTCTGGATGACATGGAGTAGTGAAAATTCTTTCCCACATCGGGACTTGAACTCCGACCCCCTGGTTGTTCAGCCTGCAGCCAGTTGCTATACCAATTACGCTATCTCAGTTCCTTTACCTAATTCAGTATAAAGTTAAAATTAATTATACACTTGTCAGATTGTAGAGAGGCCTTCCTAACAGTGGCTAAAATTTAATTAAAAAAGTTGCACAATGATGTGTTAAAAATCAACAACAGGAGAAGTATGTGAGCCAATCCATCCTTACAGCTACAACATGGTTAAAATGACTCAAGCAGGTAGGTAAAATTGAGGCAACTAAATAGACTTGTCTATCTCTATATCATGAAGGAGTGCCACATGTTAGTCATGCTGCACTGATCATAGCCCTAGGACACTTTGCAACGTCATGAAAATGGCAAGTTGGGTTTTATCATAACGTGGGCATTCCTGCAGGTTGTGTAAACTGATAAGGAGCACACACACTGGCTACAAACAAGTGTCAAGTCACCTTGCAACAAATGCGTATGTGTCAGGAGACATAAACATGAATTCTTGCCTCACAATGGAGCTCAAAGACTGTCACACTTCAACTTCAACAACTTAGATTTGCAAAGTCTGTGCAAACAAGTTGACATTGCTAAAGTTGACAATGAATATATAAAAAAGCTTCATATATAGCATAGAATTTGTCCATGAACTCATTACCGAATCTGTGGAACTGACAGGAAAAGATCTGGCCTTCACTGGCAAGGGCACAATCAGCTAGACCAGGGGTCGGCAAAGATTTTTCGTAAAGGGCCAAATATAAAATACATTACACTCTGAGGGCCAAGAGGCAAACTCGAGGATCTTTAAAGGTTGGTACAGTTAAAATAACAGGTCAAAAAACAAGTTTTCTCAAATTTACTGGTGAAAATGTAACATAATAAAAATACAAAAGGAACTACAATCATTGTTTGAAACACAGCTTTAGGCTACTAATGGGATGAATGAAATTTTTTTTTTTAGATAACATTTCTTCAAATTGGGGGTCAAAGTTAGTACTCCCTATCATCATAATTGATTGCAAATGTTCGTCTGTTAATGCTGACCTGTATTGAGATTTTACATATTTCATCTTTGAAAATGTCTTTTCACACAGGTAGGTACTACCAAATACAGAGATCAAACCTCGAGCATATGATCTTAATTCACCATATTCATCACTTGGAAGACACTTATAGAATTCTGTTAGATTGTTCTCTTGGAATTTGCCTTTTAGCATGTTATCACACTGCAGATTAATCACTTACAATTGAAGGTTAGGTGGAAGTTCCTCAATTGTACAGTTAAATGGATTTTCAAATCTGGAAATGTCTTCTGCACTTGCATCAAGATCCGAAAAACATTGCTGGAACTGTTTTTTGAGCTCAGAAAATATATCACCTGCAAATTCGTGCGGGAATGGGGAATCCACTTCTTCTTTTAATGTTTGACAGCATGGGAAATGCACGAAACAGCTTGACATGATTTGTGACTCAATCAAAGCCAGTTGTCGTCGAAATGATTTTACCGCAGTATAAGTTTCACATATTAGCACTGTTTTGCCTTGTAGCTTCAAGTTGAATCCATTAAGAAATCCCATGATATCAGCAGCAAAAGCTAATTTCCAAAGCCATTCAGTGTTCGATAATAGTGGTTGAGGGCGTTTTTTCTCATTGAGAAAAATTTCAATCTCTGCTCTGAGTTCAAAAAATCTTAATAAAACTTTACCACTGCTGAGCCATCGAACTGCTGTGTGGTAGGGTAAGTCAGGATATTCGGCTTCCACTTCTGACAGAAAATCACGGAACTGACGATGGTTCAGCCCACGAGAACGAATGAAGTTCACCGTTGACACGACTGGTTCTAAAACACACGACAGATTAAGATATTTGCCACAAAGTACATGCTGGTGAATGATACAATGAATAACCATAGGCCTTGTACACCTTGCATTTTCACAAGCTGTGTAAATGCTTCCAACTAAGCCTTTACCTGTTCCAGACATATTTTTACCACCATCAGTTGTCACACATTTTAGCTGATTCCACTTCAGATTGTACTTCGTTAACATTTCCTCAACTTCCTTGAAAATGTCTTCGCCTGTAGTTGTTCCACGCAGACTATTCATAGAAGCTAATTCTTCAGTCACTTCAAAGTCAGCATTGACTCCTCGAATAAACAGCAGCAATTGAGCAGTATCTGTAATGTCTGTCGACTCATCAAGAGCTAAGGAAAACCACTCGAAATCATTTGCCTTGTTAATTAATTGGTTAGTGATGTTGCTACCAATGTCCTCAACTCTTCGGGCAACTGTTCTCGTGGAAAGGCTGATATTATTAAATAAATCCATTTTCTCTGGACACATTTCTTCAACTGCTACAATCAAACACGATTTAATTAACTCACCATCAGTAAAGGGTTTTCCTTCCTTGGCTAACAAATGAGCTACTCGCAGACTTACTTTACTTGCAGCCTTATTTCCATTTTTCATTTTCGTGAAGAAACTGCGTTGTAATGAAATACTCCATTTTAAAGTTTCTAATTTTTGTGACCGTTCCTTCCCTGTGAGTTGGGAATACTGTGCCGAATGCTTAGTCTGGTAATGCCGACGTATATTGTACTCTTTTAGTACAGCTATAGTATCACTGCACAATAAACACAATGCTTTGCCATCTAATTCAGTAACAAAATAATTCTCACTCCACTCTGCCTTAAAAGCACGACATTCCAAGTATACTTTTCTCTTCTTTTGTGGTTTCGACAGTGACATGATGGATATCCACTGGTATTAAAATGACACAGAACAGCGATACACGTGGCATTTGTAACACTGCGTGTCATCACAGCTCGGGCCACGAAGGAACGTGCAAATGGGAAGCTATAGGAGCGGCACACACGGCAATTCTCGCAACTCCTCAACTCAAGGTCGGCTGTTGGAGTGCGTAATCATCCACAGACAATATGTTCGAAAAAACGTAGGTTTCTTCCTATAAATAAAGCTTCATAGACGCAGAAATATTAAACTCATATTATAATAATTATAATAATAATAGAGCTAATAATTTCATGAAATACTATCCCACTTTGACATTTTTAAGAGTTTGGAAATGTAAAATCCATTCTTAGTGCGCGGGCCGCACAAAAAGTGGCGGCGGGCCGGAGTTGGCCCGCGGGCCGTAGTTTGCCGACCCCTGAGCTAGGCCATGGGAAACTAATCTGTCAGTATAAACTCCCATGTAGTTCATGTAAGCAGATAAGCATTTGGCAAAATGCTAACAATATGTTAGGGCTGATGTTTCACTGCTCATGTGACTGATGAGTCACAGGTTGCAGGACCATTCTTGTTTAGTGGCAACATACTCTTACAGCAGTTACCTGTGGGATATACGTGTATGCTTATGTCTCTTGTATGTGGTTTGTTTTCTCCAATACATACTGCAGTAACCTCCATTCTTGACATAGGCGCATTATATTTCTCTTGTCTAAGTCCAGGTCCTCCATAAATATCATGATCACATTCACTGCCGGACTGGCCTGGGTTATTTAATGCATTTATTTATATGACTCAGCAAATAGATTAACTTGTCACAGCATTACTCTGGCCGCACTCTTGGTCTGATTGGTTTTTGGGTTACCTGTTTCAGCATCTTGTCCAATCATTGCATTACTTTCACAACAAAGACTTGGTTTGACAGGTTTTCGAGCTGATCTGCTGCAGCTTCAGCAGATCTGTAAATATAAAGTTGACCATATCCTGGCTTATTTGCCTCATCTGGACACAGCAATGAGCTCAAGTGGTAAATATGGCCATGTATCCCAAAACATCATGGACAATTTCCAAGTGGTGATTTAATTTATGCATCCATCAATGTCAATGTGACTGCTGAGTTGTATTCTTGTAATACAGTGGGTGACTCAGACAGTCAGTTGCGTGAAACCTTTCCATCATGACAGCAGTGCATTTATTCCATGTGTTTAACTCATTTCTCCAATAACTTGCATTGCACTACCCACAGTTGTAACATATATTTCTTGTGTTATGCTCTCCCGTGTTAGAAATAATATATTTTAGCATCATATTGTCTGTGTTTTGTTCCATCACCACAACAAGAAATATGGATACACCATATTCTTCTAGTCTTTTTTACAGCGTGTTTCAGCTCACTGAGCTATCATCAGGTATTTGACTTGTTTACATACACCTGTATTGATCTGCTTGTATCCCTACCTTGGCCTAGTGAGTACATATTGGAATACTGTTCTTTTAGTAATATGTAATGCTGTTATATATAGGAAAGGTGCTGTTAAGATTAAATATTAATAGTTAAAATGTTATATCACTAAAATTAAAAATGATGTGTTTGTAAAGGCTTTATAAAGTTTTTATCTGGGTGTAGTGGTTGTGTTTAGTTCTTCTGCTGGTTTATTTCTTTGGGGGTCTTCCTTGCCTAGAAAGTGACCACAACTTTTATCAGAATATACATGTTTCTTGTTTATATGTTGAGTGGAAGTGGGTTTTTATCTACCGTGTATTGATGTGGTATGTGTTTGTTGGTTTTTGAACATGTGATTATGTTTTTCTCCTTGTTTCTGCCTGTAGGAATGTTATGAATACTAGCAGACCAACACAGGTGTATGTAAACAAGTGAAATACCTGATGATTGCTCAATGAGCTGAAACATATTAAAAATGATGAATATATGGTGTATCCATATTACTTATTGTGGTGATGGAACAAGACAAAGAAAACTCTCATTACTCACAACTGATGAGTCCTACAGCATTTCACTCTTCCTCTCACTGTCAATCACGTTTTTTCTTCAACGTTCTCTGTCGGTTTTCAATGTCTCAGAGTTTAATTTTTGTCAATTAGTCTATTTCATTTCTTCCCTAATGATTCATTAGCATTTCTTCTATGGTTTCTCAGGATTCCTTCACATGGATCAGCCATTTTTACACCTCTCAAAACTTTTACACCCTGTATTAAATGCTTAAATTTCTTTTTAACACTTTCAAACATTGTATTAAGTTCATAAAAGGTTACGTATGTGTTCAATGTTAAGTTCAAAAACACACAACTGCCATTTCTCCTCCTCCTCCTCCGAGTAATTTTACACACTGCATTATGTTCACACAATTAAGTTCATAAGAAATTACACAAGTGTTTCAGGTTACACACTGTTATTGCTGCTTAGCAATCCTGAAACAGCTGAATGCTGAAGGTAAACATACCTCAATGTTACTTTATATATATAAAAAAAGTAAAAGTAAAGCTATCCTTGTAACAGGCTGTGAAGGCCCATAGGGTTGTGAGACGTTGAGGGTCCCACATTATCTAGACAATCAGCTCAAAGATGGCGGTAAGGTTGTCAGCCTTACGCACTGGCCGTGTTTTACTCCCCAGGAAATTTATTTCATTAATTCCTGGTACTCATTTCTGTTGGAGGCTGAGTCGGCCCCAGGGCCATAGTGCGGCTGGAAGGATTAGGTCAATCGAAAAAAATCCAATGACCTCATCAGGACTTGAACCCGCAAACTTCCAGCTTGTAGCATAGCCCCTCAACCAACTACGCTACCACGTGCTACATTATTTATATATACTTGAAGATTAAATAATCTTTAGTTGTTTCTTTTCCTAACTAATCATCATCATCATCAGTAATCTGTCAGATGACAGGTCCACAGTCTCTTCCAAAACAATTCCTCTACTTAATGCGATCTAGAGCTTTATCCTTCAAATGACAGTATCCTCTTCTGTCCCCAAGGTCATCCAGCATCTTCTTCCTCGTCTTCTTGTCACTTCTATCCGCCCCTCTATCTTTCCTTCAATAACTTCTTTTAGAAGGCAGTTTCTGCGTAAAACATGACCAATCCAATTAGCCTTCCGTTTTCTTATTTCGTGTAGGATATTCCTCTGCTCACTGACTCTAATTAACACTTCTTCATTTCTCACATAATCGGTCCAACTGATCTTCTCCATCCTTCTCCAACACCACATTTCAAAACTTTCCAGATGTTTCTGATCTACTGCCCTAAGTGTCCATGTTTCAGCCCCATACAGAGCTATGCTCCAAATGTAGCATTTCACTAGTTTCTTCCTCAAATTTAAGTCCAATTTGCTGGTAAAAAGATTCTTCTTCTTGCTAAATGCAGCTTTTGCCATGGCAATCCTGGATTTAATTTCACTAGTACACCTTCCATCATCTGTTAACAAGCTACCCAAATATTTAAAACATTTCACATTCTCCAGTTGTTTTTGGTCTATCTTTATTGTGACTGGGGTTGGTTGTCTCGAAATTTTCATTACTTTTGTTTTCTCCACATTCGTTTCCATGCTATAGCACCTCCCAATTTCAATTAGTCTATCAAGTATGCCCTGTAGCACAGTTTCTTCCTTAGCCATTAACACAAGGTCATCTGCATATTTCACAGTTTGAATAATTTGCCCTCCTACTTTGAAGTCACCGAGCCCATCCAGAGCTTCCTTGGTAAGGCATTCGCTGTACAAGTTGAACAGAATTGGTGATAAACAGCATCCTTGTCGAACTCCTCTTCCAATCTGCACACTTCCTGTCTCCCCCCTGTCCAGTCGTACTCTAACTTTCTGATCCATGTACAATTTGCTAATCAATCTTCTTTCATGCCAATCGATACCTGTTTCTTTCAGGATCTGCATTAATTTGGTCCAGTTTACCCGGTCAAATGCCTTCTGCCAGTCTATGAAGCAAACACACAGTTCTTCATCTATCTCCAAAGTTCGTTCCGCTATAATTCTCATCATCCCAATTGCATCCCTGGTTCCTTTTCCTCTTCTAAATCCAAACTGATCTTCTCCAAGTACATCCTCTATTTTCCTTTCAATTCTTCTTTTAAGTATCTTTGCTATTATCTTTGCCGTATGTGCAATAAGGCTTATTGTGCGATGGTCGCTGCATTTTGTAGCTTTCGTCTTTTTCTTTAAGGCAATCATTGTAACTTCTGTAAAGTCGTTGGGCCACTCTCCAATTTCATATATGGTGTTCATTAGTTTTGTCAGTGTTTTCAAACCACCTTCTCCCAGTAACTTGAGCACATCTCCAGGTACATCATAATCTCCTGTAGCCTTTCCCTTCCTCATTTCCTCCGATGGGGGGAGTAGTATACCTCCGGATTGTTCTGTCTCCAGAGGAAACATCTCGCATACATGGTATCTCTGTTTTTGGAAAGAGACTATCCAGGAAAAGTGATAATGTGGTAGTTTTTCCATTTGCTTTCCACATCGCAGTACAGCAGCTGTTCAAACCACTCTGGTCACTCCTGTTGCTATACGAACTTGAACCATCTCAAGCATCATTTGCTTTGTGCTTCAAGTCGCTACTGATGACGCTGCTTCCAGCATCAGTTTTTGGTGTCTCTCTTCGTCTGATGCCTACCCTTTGACCTGTCCAGCAAGGGAGGCCCTGCCAGTAGCTACGCTACTGCTGGTATAGCTCTCAGGGTCCTTGGCAAACAAATAATATGGTAAATTATTTTGAACAATGCATGGCATGCCTTTTATCCAGACCAATGTCATCAACGTTGAAAATTAAAAGCAATTACAAAAAATTGTGGTAGAATAATAGTCATCTCCAACATATCTATGATATAACATAACCTATATGAACTCAAAATTAGCTTTAATTCTCTCTGGAAAATGTACTGTGGGATGTCATTATATGAAGAGACAATCACGTGTTGAACTGTTCTATAACATTTATTGCAGTTGCACAGTATACACAGACGAACTTGAGTTTGAAGAAATGAAGAAAAATAACAATAGTGAACTCCTTGAACACTGAACTAGAATTGTAGAACTGTAACTGTAAACTTACAAGTCCAAGTCATTATTCTGACTGATGGTCCGTCAGTCTGTCTGCCTTCGTGTTGAGCCCTGGCTGGGGCTCATGACCAGATTTTTTTTTTCTTTTTCTTATATGAAAGTTACTGTCCTGTTCATTTGGGGCACCCTCTCTGACAAGAGGTCGGGTCTGTCATTTGTCAGTCATAGTCTGTGTTAGTAAGTCCATTGTCAGTATTTACTTCTACTTACAAATTTAATCATAATTCCTATTTCTCTTCGATAAGAGAGTTACATGGGGACTGCACATAGAAATGATCGAAGCCAAGGCCTTCAGAACATTCATTAGAGTATATTCCCTATTCAAAAGTGTAGACTTCCAAGTCCAAGTCACATTGCGACTGACGGTCAGTCAGTCAGTAAGTCTTTGTGTTGAGCCCCATGTGGGGCTCATGACCAGATATTTATTACCTTTAACAGTTATGGGCTTATTTTTGTGGTGCGCCTTCTCTGACGAGATGACGGGTCTGCCTTTTGTATGTGCTGCTGGCCCTTGCCAGTGCAGTCTTTCTAGGGTCTGAGTCCCTTAGGACTCGAGACCATATTTTACTGTCAGATTTGAGACTTCCCTTTTCGTCACCTCTTACAACTTGCAAGGTCATGGTGGAGGTCCGTAACCTTGCACTCAATGTATCTTCTTATATAACCAAAAGTTGACCATATAGAAAATGTGTCACTGTCTGTATTGTTGTAGGCTTTGCCTAGCAACAGCTGTTTACTTGCTGTTGCTAAGCAATGATACTTGTGTTGTCACATTTGCTTGAATGTGGGCAGTTCCCACAGTACAATAAACTAGGAGTTATCTGTTGATATATTCCAATAAACCCACCTGTTTTCCTGCACACCTGGCTTCTTTAATGCATCCAACCCTTCTGAACAGGACTCAGAGCTGCAACCTATTTCTTGCACAACATGATTTGCGAAGCACTCAAGCTGCTCTGGGTTTAGGACTGATGTTACCAGCAATGCATTTGCTCCTGTTAGTATAATAGGCCAAGCTTCCCTGATGTGGGACATCAAATGCCTTGCAGCAGACAACATAATGTCTTGTCTTGTCTTATTATTATTCACATACAAGACCACAGCTTGTAGTTTCTGCAGGATAAGCTTCACCTAACAGAACATAAGAATGCACATGGCAAATATTAAATATCTGGAACTCATAATATTTTCCATTACATGGAAGCCTAATGAGGACTCAAGGAAGCTTCTTGTGCCCAGATATGAAAACGGGATGGTACCTTAACATGATTGATGTCAAAATTGACTTAGGTTAGTTTATAAATGAGGTTTCAATACTTCCAGCATTGTTGTAAATCAGATTAGTGAAGCATTCTGGATAATGTGAAATGACTGTGAATGCTTGAAGTGTCATTTATATCATTATGCATTACCCAACACCTAGAACGTTTTAGCCTTATTTTCCCTTATTCTATCTTTATATTTGTTATGTATCTAAGTGATATTGAAGGAGCTCACATGTGAGGTATGGCAGCAGCTGAAGACATCACAAAGTATCTCTAGTGCACAGTTTGTCATTTATGTTTCTGAGTTCCACAAAATACAGTCATGGCAGAAAAAAATACTTCAGGAGCATTTAAGAGGTAAGGTTGTTCCTGTGATAATTAATTAAGCACCATGCCATGAAAATGTGTTGGTCAGTGGAGGTGTAGATCCACATATTCTTAACTGCAATATTAGATGCAAGTGTGTGGTCAGTTTCTAGTCTGGCTGCTTTACCCCTGGGAAATGGGCTGCACCACAGCTCAAGCGGTTAGTCACTGGCTTCTCACCACGGTGGCCTGGGTTCGATCCTGGGTCTGGTCAACTGGGATTTGTGGTGGAAAAAGTGGCACTGGGGCAGGTTTTCTCCGAGTACTTCGGTTTCCCCTGCCTCTTCATTCCACCAAATTCACCATCATCATAATCACCTGGGGCAGGCTACTATAGGTAAATCAGTGGCTGCTGTGCCGAGTGGACCCAGTTGGACTCCACCCCCTATCAAGCGAATTTAATTTTAAATTTCTTACCCTTGGTACACCTTGTATATGTGGCTGGCTGGGACCTAGAGCTGGTCAGGAGACTGTGAAGAAGAAAAAGCTAGGCATCCAATGATTTCTTGGCTGCCCAGCCCGTAGCACCTTATTGCATGAGATATCCTGACTCTTTAGGAGCATTAACCTTTAAAGTCTGAATGTCACGTATACAGGTCACAAGCGGTAACCGGAGCTGGCTAAATGACGTGTGTACACATCGCAGGACACATGCTCTCTTTGGGAGTGCTGGCAGTTTGACCTTGGGTTGCAAACCTACACAAACCTACGTGAGGTCATGTCAGTGGTTCATTCCTTAGTTCTGAACAGAGAAATTTTTTATCTCGGTCCTGGTTTCGATACTATTTACGTTTAAATATGACTGTTTATGACCTGGTCAGTCAAATATAGCCCAGCTTTGTTTCGAGAACTGATGAGGAAATATTTATCGGTGCTTGGAAATGAGAGCTTGCAAAGCCTTCAAGGAAGTCTGACGCATTCAAGGATTGGTTTTCATTGGCGTATTATCAGTCAGGAAGTCAGTGTTGAATTGTCTAATATTTCTTTATCAGTTAGAAAGTCAGTGTTACTGTCATATATTCCGTTATATATCATTTTTAGTTTGCATCTTCGAAGAAGTATAAACCCACTGAGCCAGTATTACTTTGTGAGTAAAAGTCATCTTCGCCACTGCAAGTTTCATTATGTGTCGGACTGGCACTCTTTTCGACTAGTATTATAATTACTTTGCATTACTATTTTGCGAATATTACCAACAGGTGAGAGTGTCGCTTTGTCAATCAAAATAATTTATTCGATTTTGCTAGAAACCCCCCTCCCCCAAGATGATTCTTCAATCGCACTAGCCGAATATTATGGTCAGTGGCGTTTCTTGGGGAGCCCAAGGTTACCTGGGGCCCAAATGAGTCGACTTGAGGTGAAACATTCACAACACTGGTCAACCAAAGGGAAACAAAGACATATTTGTTCTCAGAATATGAAGCGCAGAAGCACGCTCTACTACTGTCGGCTGTTTCGAGACGTGGGTTGCGCTCTGTGTGTTCTGGCTACTTTGAGACGTGGCAGACGCGCATCAGGGTGAGAGTTATCGTAAACTGTGAAGTGACGCAGTTCAAACTCGTATACAGTCTGAACAAAATATTATTGTATATAGTGTGATTATATTTACAATATCACCATGATTCAAGGCTGAAGAAAAAACAATGGGTAAGTCCTTTGCAATTTCATAACATATATAATAAAGATTATATTTTGCAATTCATGACAAAATAATCACAGTTAATTTTCGTTTGTAAAAATTGCTCTTCTGTGTACATGTAGAAAAATTTATTGTCTTTCAGGTTGTTTTTAGTTTTTACTTCTATGTTGCATAGAACAGAAAATATGGATTTTTTTTGACGGTTTGCAAATTTAATTAATCAGGGTGATTTAAATACCGGCCTCAGAGGGCTCCCGGCAATTTAAAAGTCCGTATGTTAAAGGTTAACAGAGGAGAATCATGTGAAAATTTTAAATGACAGTGATTCTGATAACTGATTTTATACCTTAATCAAGTCCATCAGAATTATCAAGAAAAGACAATGAAGATGGCATTTTGAAATGTTCAAATAGCTCAGTGAGCCATGATATTTCCTCTCATTTCAGCATTATAAACTTATATGTTTGAAAAAAGTGTTAATAAAAGAATGAAACAACTTTTAAGCTGCTCTTTCTGACACTATGAAATGACAATTTACTCACAGTAACCATTCTCTGGGTGAACGTACAGCAATCACAATAGGTAGTGAGAAATCATACCAACAACTCCTTGCAGTCAGCTTCACCGAAGTTGTCAATTCTCTGTGCAACAAGGTTCCATAATTCGCTATTCAAATATGGGTGTAAGTAAGAGAGGTTGGTAGCACTGATGTCCTCTTGCAATGCTGCCAACTGCAGGTCAGCAGCAGATTCATACTTGACACTGTAGTGTATCAGCAGTACTTTCATTTCTCCCCAGTTATAGCACAGCTGAAGAAATGCCACCATCAGCAGGCAATTCTGCCACAGTAAATAAAATACACTTGAAAACAATTTTAAGATTTCCATAAAACATATAACAGGGATGGATTCAATTGGTCTGTTTGAGCCCTCATCCAAAACAAATAAAGTTACTCATTTCCTTACATGTTCCCTATGCAGTAGTGCCTGTCCCAGCTTTCCAAGCAAGTCCTGCAACTCTGTCATCATGCTGCTGAACTTCAAAACTATCTGAGATGGTACAGAATGATCAGCCACTCGAGTTCCGCGAAGAAAATGGCACATGAGTTTACTGATAATTTGCAGGAACAGAAGGGTACAGTCACCTGAAATCATTGTCACAACTTCTGCATATATGTTTATGGATTTACAACAGTGTAATCTTTCCACTGGGTAACTACTTCCATGGCACAGGGTCTTTTTTGAAATGTTTATATGTACTCAGCAGGAGAAACAACTCCCTGCTTCTGAGAAACTGAAGGTTCATCACTGCGTTCACAAAAGTCCACCACTGGAACTTATCCTGAGGCATGCGAATTCCCCTCATACCTTCACATTAATCCACCATAATCCACTACCCTTCCACTTACTCTTACATTTCCCAGTCAGCTTCTTCTTCCTTAGAGGTTTCCCAATCAGTTCTATGTGCACTTCTCACTTTCATCACCCTTACAATATTAGATAAAGAGCATATTTTCCATTTATTGTTTATTTCATGGCAGTGTCAATAGATTACAGAAAAGGTAAAGCCATCCATACACTTAATTATGTAATTAAGCAATATGCCATGAAGGCATATGGGAAGTGAAGGTAGAGCTCAATAGATTACAGAAAAGGTAAAGCCATCCATACACTTAATTATGTAATTAAGCAATATGCCATGAAGGCATATGGGAAGTCAAGGTAGAGCTCCACCATCCTTGAAATTGGCACATGATTTTGACAGAGGCAAGGGGCCAGCTTCATGCTCCCTGCCACTTTACCTCTGGGGACAGGGCCCCAGAGCCAGTCTGTATGCTACTGAGAACAATTTCTCACCCCTTCTGTGAGTTCAGATTATATAGCATCAAATAACAGAACAACAAATTAGAAAGGATATAAAAGGAAGTGAATATGGCCAATCTGAAGTACTATCCCAGCATCTGCCTGCATGGATTGAGGAAAACTACAAAACACCTCATTCAGGATAGCTGGTCTCTGTGCTAAAATTTCAACCTGGTACCTACCATACAGCAGAGTGCTATTTGCTCAACTGCATCATTTAGCATGAAAGAGCATAAGTTCTGAGGCTTCTCATTATGTAATCACCTCAATTCCTGTTACTTATTCTTTGCTTGGGGGTGTAAGGTAAAGGTAAAGTTGTCCTTGTGCTTAACTAATTAAACACAAAGCCATGAAGACATATGGGGGAGTGGATGTAGACCCACGTTTTCTTGACCTTGGCACTAATTTGAGGTGGTGACACAAAAAAACATAAAATGTAAAGCTATCCCTGTAACAGGCCGTGAAGATCCATAGGGTTGTGAGACATCGAGGCTCTCACATTTTCTAGACAATCAGCTCACAGAAGGTGCTAAGTTTGTCAGCCTTATGTGCCGGCCACCCTTTAGCCCCGAGGAAGATCCCTGGTACAGGCTTAGTCAACCCCAGGGCCATAGTGCAGCTGGAAGGATTGGGCCAACTGAAAATTACAAATATCAAAACCAATTCAAGTTACATAGTTTTCAGATTAAGAAACACAGTTGTGAGGCTTTTATGAATAGAGGTAACTAAGCATCACATCAGGATGGCATAATAGGTATGAAGGTAAAGCTCCATGCATTCCTAACCTCAGGATTAGATACAGGTGGGCAGTAAGCCTCATGCTCCAATCAATTTTACTTCTAGAAAGCCCCTAAGTACAGTGCACCTTTGATCTACTGCAGATTCTGACATACTGCAGTTGTGATCATCTCTCTCCATATGATTACATACTGTAAATGTCAATTTCACACATAACACAGGTAGCTTACTACATGGGTACTGAAGCTATCTCCAAAATCCGTGTTACATTGAGGGTCCACCATGATTCTGGATGTGGTGGTGAAGAATTTTAAACATATAACCTGTACAAAGCATGAAACAGAAAGAGAAATCAGTTTAATGAACAGAAGTTGAAAAAAGGGAAAGCTGAGAAAATAGGGACCCATTCAATGCAATGAATACAAAGTTCAACCGACACCTAACATGTTAACTTCAGATGACAGAAGTCAGTAATCCAGTTGTTTTAAAGCCTCCCCTTCCACTACTATCTTTACAAGGGGGAGGTTTATGTCATCCCCTGGTGAGCTATGCTAGCAGGTGCATAAGTTCCTGGTGCGGTCAGCCATGCTAGACAGACTGAAGGGTATGAGCCAAATAAAAATAATCCTGGTCTTTTAAATTGGAAGTTGGATGCAGGGCCAATATCATCATCTCATAAAACAACAGACATATGCAGGATCTCAGGTTCTCACCGCAGTGAACATGAAGAGTTCTATCTTCTTGCTTTGCTTACTCTTCTACCCTGAAGATGGAGGTGATCTGTTCATCCAGAATGTTGGATGACTTTCACTGGACTACGCATCATTATATCCCAGAAGATAGAACTCTACAATATATGGATGGATGCAAGATCAGAGAGGAATGGGTATCTGTCATGAAGGAAACAAAAGGTTTTTAGAGGACCTTAGAGACAAGGGGTAAACAAGCACATAAGTTCTTGTAAAGTACCCATCACGACAACGATCATAACAGATCCAGCAGCATCAGAGAACGCGGAAGAACAGCGAGATCTCACAAACAAATGAAAGTGCAACCAATAACATAAGTTGAACTTTAATTCACGAACTTTTAACCAATAATAATAATAATTAAACTAGTTAAAAAAGAACTAGACACAGTTGTGAGCGTAAGTAAAGTGAGACTGTAAAAACAAGTGAAAGTGTAAGCAGTGACATGAATTGAACTTCGATTCACGAACTTTTAACTTTTAACAATTAAATTAGAATAATAATTTTAACCTGTGTTTTATAAAAAGAACTCGATATATTAGTGAGCATAAATCTGGATAAGATACAGGGTCGAATGAGTGAAAAGTGAACGTGACCGCGTGTAATTATACAGCTGTGTTCATACACCTGAGGACGACCTCTTGAGGTTGAAACATGTAGTGATAATAAAAAACGTTTTGTGTAGTCGGTAAATTCACTCTACCATTTCTTGTAAAGAGTTTGCCCAGTTTTTTCTTTATCAAGTGAAAGCTATTTTATGTCCATTACCTACAGGATACTACAACTGAAGCTATTTTTGCCAAAGTTACTATCAAAGAGTGCTTCCCTAATGTCTATTTAAATGACCTTCAAAAGACGTTTACAACTATTAATGTAATAAGACGCTTATTAGAAGGCTGTCCTTGCAATAACCGAATGAAACTTATCTCTAAAAATTGTTGCCGATTCCTAATTTTCCCACTCATGAGCTACTTACCCTGCTGTTTCTCAAGCACTACCACACAGTCCTGGTTCAGATGGAACAACAGGGTTCTCATTAGTTCAACTGTCTGACCACCAGACAACAAGGTTATGGCAGTTTGGAACTCAGTACAGAACTCTATCGGCAATATATCTCTGAGTGTCGGTACCTTTTCAGCCTCCCTTGAACTGAGTGTTATTCTGAGATTTAACAGCTTTGCTACAAATTTCTGCAGCCGACTAAGTTTCACAAACATCTTCAAAACATCACAGAAGAAAGTGGTATATGCTACTCTTATTTCTTCAGTTTCTTTCTTTGCTAACATTACATGTTCCAAAATCTCACTTACTTTCGGTTCAATGATTAGCGGTCTTAAACGTACGAATGCACACAAAACTTCCAGTAAAGCTAAAGAAATGGAGTCTTTTGACGTGGAAGAAATTGCAGCTGATATTAATGCCTGCAACCACTCTTCAAATGGTACTTCATCACTGTTGCCATTCACGACATTTGTATCTGACAAGACACCAAGAAGATTTCTTATTACTTTCATTGATATGTCATTTATTTCCAGAACTTTTTGGATATGACATTCTGGAAATGATGTCTTAAACTTCTTGTATTTCAGTACAGATTTATATCCACCACATGAACTTAATTTAATTTTAGGTTTAAATCCAACAAAATAACACAGAGTTATAAACATCTTGTGAACAGATTTTGCATCACTTTTGAAACTAGACACAAATGCTTGAAATACAGAAGAAAATAAGTGAACAGTTGAATCTGATGGGCTGTTAACTACTGCAGATGAAACACACTCAAAAAGGGCTTCAAGAATAACACTCCGATGGCCACTTTCTTCTGAAAAAAGGGACACGAACACCAGAGATATTTCTTTAGAACGTGTCTTAGGAAATAGAACTTGCTGCATACATTTGAATATCTCAAATTTGAGGTGACTTGCAGTTGAATCTGCCACATGTTGACTGGGTATGATCTCAAGAAATTTAATTGCAGGTTGTAATGCTTTCTGAATGAACAAAACAGAAAACACTTCCTTTTGAAAGACTTGTTTGTTAAGAACACAGATGGATTGCAATATTCTCACACAAAAGTCAACATTCTCTCCGTTAATGGCAACATTTAAAACAACACTGATGAATTCAAAAAACTGTTCCAGCTGCTGCTTGAAGTAGTGCTGAAAGCTTGTGTTCTCTAGCACACAAACTGCACATTCTAGAATGGTAAACTCTGAATTCTTGAATGTACTCTCTGATTTCAGAAGTTCACACAGAATCTGGAAACAATGCAAGTTACAATGAAATTACATAACATTTACAGTTGCACCTTGAATATTGCTGGCTATAGTAAACCATATCACATGCCTTAGCCTGCGATATCCAAGTTGGTAACTTTGCTATTTTTAAGAATTTTTCTGAGACCTGTACAGTCAATGACAAATTACACATACTACACAATTTCTTGCCAAATAAGTGGAAATATTTACATGACTCTTCAGATCACCAGTATATAGCAGGATGCCTCATAATAATATGGACCTTACAAAGTGATACTCTCAAACATGTGTTCAGATTGTCTCACAAGACTCTCCTTAGAATGCAGAGACTGAATTAAGAATCCCCAGAATTTAAGATGTTATACTTACAGCGATGTCAAGGTAAACAGCACACAACAAAAGAAGTAAGTCTATTCTGAGAATTCATATTTTCCAAAAATGTTCCTTCTTATGTGGCCTAAATGACCTCCACATTCATTTACTGCATATGCAATTCTATTACTGCAAAGCTAATTTCACTAAAAACATCACACTGGGTAGTCTGAAATAATTTTTCAGTTCTTTAAATATCAATCATGTCAAAATATATTTCACGTAAAAGTCCTAGATCTCAATGAGACCTGCATTTTATCGTAAAATACATACTTTTTCATTATGTAATTTCTTATAAAATAAGTTATTTTGAGAAAATTCATGAATTATGATTTGAGCATTAGGTAAAGTGTTATACAAGACCAAAACAAACCAAAAGTATATTTGTTTACTGAATACTAAGTTTCATCAAAATCCACTTAGTAGCTTCAGCTGATGGCTGACATGGCACCCCACTGTCCAATCAATCTGTACTATAAACTGAGAGAAACTGATATGTGGTCATAAGTGTGTTACGCACATAACAGAACTGGGTCCATGTGATGCGAACCTTTGACCAAATGTATTTTAGAGCTAACCTGAGAAAGGGAACATTTGACAGGCGGTCTGATGTTAGCACTGCTCAGTTTCTTCATGTGACTGCTGTTTAAGCAGGCCTTAAGCACAGACCAAACATCCTCTGAATTTTGATTCCTTTCCCCGTAATCACACAACCACTTCAAAATGAGCTCCTCTTTCCGTTGAACTGGCAAATAATTTGATTTAAATGCTGCCAATGCCAATCGAAGTCGTTTAGGTAACGGTTCCTCTTCTTGATCAAGTCTTCTCAACAATTCTGACAAACAATGAATAACATTGCTAGTATCATCACTCGTTTCGCTTACAAACCGTTCTTTTACAAAATGTTTTTTGCTGGTGATATATGGGGCAATGCAACATATTACATGTGATGACATATGCAATTCACATTAATTACTGGGATTATTCATGCTACATTTACTATAAAATATACAAACTTTAATATCTTATTTTAACAAGCCTAAGAAATACCAGCACAACACGGTTACTTTCAAGACTGATTGTAACGACCATTGTCTTACTACAGTGAATATACTGTTGAAAACACATTATTGTTATAGCTTAACACGCACGATCTCTACAAAGCATGACATACCCCAGAGTATGGAAATTTACTACGACAGTAATACACCCGTACTCTGGCAAGAACGTCAACACGTGTATTGCCATTTGTTACCAGTACCTAACCTCATTTATTGTTCTCTCTAAGGATTATCAACCTACTCTATATGTACCTCTTACCTTAATGGAATTTAGGTCTGTATCATTCTATGGTGGTATAAAAATGATAGTATAATTTATTCCTACGCTACAGCATATAAAAACAGGAAACACGTACACCTTACCTATCGACAACGCCATTTCTTAGTGCGTTCTTCTTCTGTTTATGAAACAGCAGCGGGTGGCACCTGGCAACGGGGGTCAGGGTTAAAATGCTCCACAGATGAGACATATGGCTGGCTGTGCTTACAAACACCGCAGAACGAACCAATGTATACTCTACTGTGCCCGAGTGGCACACGGTATGCATTAGTCTTTTTCTGGAAACATATTTAATCTTTCGTTAGCAAATACCGATGTGGTACCTCCCACATCACAGTTTTCAAATCCACACTGTGCATGCTATGGAGGAAACACTGTCTGCACGAGCCACGGCATAGATTCGGAGGGCAAGCAATTTATTGCTGGCAGCAGAAACAATTCTTTGATTTACAAATGATTCCAAGTGTAATAAGTTGGCTGGAAACTATGTGGGAACTTCTCGGAGAAAGTAGTCTGAAAATATTACAGTAAAAGCAATGTTGAAGAAAGGCTTGAGAGTTTCAAGATTCACACTCTAACGTCTAGCATACGTCCTTGCCTGGGAAAGTCTTCTGATGAAAAGCTTTCTGTGTAACCTATAGCTGTCATACACCAATTGAGCGAACACATAATTAATAATGATTGTTTGTTGTGTAGACAAGTTGCACAAATCTTCAACAAGAGTAAAGTTTTTTTTTATTAATTTTTTTTTGTAGAAGATGTGTGCAACTTGTCTACACGACAATCATAAGTTGGTACTGCGATCTGGCAGTGGGATAGGGAACTAAGATCTAAAACTAAGCACCCCCCCATACACTAACAGTTTGGCCACCAGTTCGGCCTGCACAGTTGAAGACTGAAAGGCAAAACTGACGTGTGTGGTGCGGCCGCCCGGCCAATCGTTTGGACTGTTGGCCTGTAGGAATCCTGTCAGTTCTACCTGCAGGACGTAGCACGTGACAGGCGGAACGTACGTGTGAGACGATACCGGTAGGCCAATCGCTCAGTTGCTGCTGCTGTCTCGTGTTCATCACTACTGTTTCGCGTTGTGGTCATTTTTCGGGGTATTTTAAAACTTTGTGCTATGGCGACATGGTCGAAGGACTTTTTAGTCGAGTTTATTGAACAATTTCATGGTCATCCTTGCATTTGGAAGGTGAAGAGCAAAGAATACCACAACCGGGAGATGAAAGAGAATGCTTATTTAGCACTGACAGAAAAAATGAAAACAGTCGACCCACAAGCTAACAAGGAAACTGTGTTGAAGAAGATCAACAATCTACGAAGCAGTTTCAGGAAGGAACGGAAGAAAGTATTGATGGCTAAGAAATCTGGAATGAGCAGCGAAGACCTCTATGTCCCGAAATTGTGGTACTACAAAGATTTGTTGTTCCCGTTAGACCAAGAAGAGGCCTTGGACGGGTTTTCAAGTCTTGTTAGTGATACGGAGGTAAGTGATGTAATTAAAAATCAAACTTTTATTGCATGTTAACAATTATAGATTACAATGCTAAACAAGCCCTTCAGCGTGGTTTGCCGTATACGGTACGCTGGTATTTAAATGACCCGACCTGCGGTTTGCCGTACACCGTACGCCAAGCTGTAAACCAAATTTCGAAGGCCCATAAATATGGAACGAAACACGCCAGCATGATGACGATTGCACTGGGCTGTTGTGAAAAAATACGCTCTCTCTTCGTGTAACCATAACATTCAAGATACTGCAGCTCTGCCAGTCAGTCTAAATAGAACGCGTGACCTCACATGGCCAAGTGATTATGATATCAACATACCACAAAGGTGATATACGTGTGGTTGTGAATAAAGCAGACAAACAAGAAACAAAGCCTGGTTGTTTGTGATTACAACAGAAACATGCTAGGAGTGGATCTGAAGGATCAAATGCTACAGCCGTACTTGCTTGAACGAAAGAAGAGTACTAAGTGGTTTCAGAAGTTATTCAAGAGGCTACTCAATGTAGCAATACATAACGCAATGGTCATATATCGGTGTCTCCCGAATAACAAAAACATGGACGCACTAATGTTCAGACTTTCACTAGCAAAAGGCCTCGTGGAAAAACACGGTTCTGGTGTTCTTCGTCCTGTATACGGCCGTCCGTCTGTTGAGCCGCCGCGTAAAAGACTCACAGAACGACATTTCCTGGAGCGTATTCCAGCCAAAGGAAAAGGGCAAAGCCTAAAAAAATATGTGTGGTGTGCGCAAAACATGGTAAAAGGAAAGAATCTATTTACTGGTGTAGTGAATGTGAGGCAGGGTTGTGTTTAGATGGATGTTTCAAGAAATTCAATACGAAACTCAAATTCCAATCAACTTGCTTCCATCGCTCAGATACAAGGCGCTCATATTATAAGGTAAGATTATAGAACCAACTTTTAAGATGATTTCAGTGAAAAATTCATAATTATATCTTATATAGTTCAAAAGTTATGATACATAATATAATTTAGAGCAAAATTTAAATGGGCAGTTAAAAAATACTACCGCAGGAGGACCCACAACAGCGATATTTAGGCCCCCCATACACACACAATTTGACCTCCCGTTCGGCTTGCACAGTTGAAGACTGAAAGGCAAAACTGACGTGTGTGGTGCGGCCAGCCGGCCAATCGTTTGGACTGTTGGCCTGTAGGAAACCCGTCAGTTCTGCCTGCAGGATGTAGCACGTGACAGGCGGAACGTACGTGTGTGACGATACCGGCAGGCCAATCGCTCAGTTGCTCCTGCTGTCTCGTGTTCTTCCGTACTGTTTCGCGTTGTGGTCATTTCTCGTGGTATATTGAAACTTTGTGCTATGGCGACATGGTCGGAGGACTTTTTAGTGGAGTTTACCGAAGAATTTCGTGGCCATCCTTGCATTTGGAAGGTGAAGAGCAAAGAATACCAGAACTGTAAGATGAAAGAGAATGCTTATTTAGCACTGATGGAAAAAATGAAAACAATTGAACCCAAAGCTAACAAGGAAACTGTGCTAAAAAAGATCAACAATCTACGAAGCAGTTTCAGGAAGGAACAGAAGAAAGTATTGATGGCTAAGAAATCTGGAATGAGTAGCGAAGACCTTTATGTCCTGAAATTGTGGTACTACAAAAATTTGTTGTTCCTGGTAGACCAAGAAGAGGCCTTGAACGGGTTTTCAAGTCTTGTTAGTGATACGGAGGTAAGTGGTGTAATTAAAAATCAAAGTTTTATTGCATGTTAACAATCATAGATTACAATGCTGAACACTAAATAATTCTGTGCATGTGTCCGGAATCAGAGCCTTCTGCCTGGATGTACTGTTTTTAAAAACAGAACTTATCTTGCCATGGAACATTTCCCTCGTTGTTGAAATACTCCAAAAACAACTCTCCTACAAGTTTCGCATCTTGGGTAGGAAAATACTGCTGTCGTCTTTCCAGATCCATAAATTGACTGCAGCGATAACCGGGCGTAACATTCCCAGTTTCAAAATCCTCATCATCCAAACACTCCAATGGTGTGTACTGATTCTGAATCTTGCTGCGCAAAAAATTTGCAGGGCACAACACGCCATAACAATATGGCAGACGGTAGTCAAATCTATGATAGAGATGGGTTTCTGTAATACCGAAAATGTCTCCACAATGGTACCCAAAACACTTTCAATCATTCGCCGAACTCTAGACAAAAGGTAGTTGAATATCTTACGGGCTGGTGTGTTTACTTTACGGCTGAAAGGCTTCATGATGTCTTTCCTCAGTGGAAAGGCATCATCTGCTACAAGAACAAAAGGCATATTTCTCCCATCAACAATTGTTTCTTTGGCACATTCAAACTCCCACTTTTGAGTTTCCTGTAGAAGTCTGTGCTTTGAAAAACTCCACCATCGGACACAACCATTTGATCCAAGACTGAAATATAGTAACTCATAATTGGCGTTTGCAACCCCAAATAAAACCTGGCTGTGGAAATTTTTATAGTTAAAGAAGAATGATCCAGCCCCTGGAGGAGGCGTGATAGCCACATGTTTTTACCATCCATGGCTCCTATGCAGTTGGGAAACTGCCACCGATCTTCAAACTCCTTAGCAACTTTCTTCCACTCCCCTTGTGATGTAGGGCACTGTAAACAGATGACAGAAGGCACTGAGAGGAAGAGAGAGACACATACACACAGAGAGGGAGATTAACATGCTTGTTATTTTTGTGTTTTGTTGTTTACAGGACTTAGAAGAAACAGGACAAGAAATTACACAAAAGTCAGTCTCTCCAGGCATTTCAGCGCACTCCTCTGTTTCAAATCAAAATGCAGAACTAAACATCAGCACTGGTCCCATCTCTTCCTATGGCTATTCATTCAAACGTAAAAAGAATCTGTCTGCTAATGATCAGATACTTGTGGCAGTGGGTGATTGACTGGCTCAAGTGAAAAATGAGGACAAATTTGATTTATTTGCAAAATATGTCGCTGCCAAATTACGAGCATTAGGAAATAATGAACAAAGGTTTTATGCAGAGAAATTAATAAATGACGCCCTTTTTGAATCAGAGCTTGGATCGCTTTCTAGATACTCTTCAATCAATACCGGTACTGGAGCATACTATACTCTTGGCCCTTAGTCAAATATCTCTTCGGGTTCTAGCCACGATGATTGCATGGGTCACTACTAGAGAGGCGGGTCAATATTACTTTAATTCTTTAACTCCTGCCTGGGCTATAGTAACTGTTGGGTATGAGAGACTTTTTTAATGTGCATACCATGACAGTTTATTTATCTTCCTGTATTTATAATGTTACCCTCACTTTTCATATACTATGTAGTAAAATTAAAAATGTTTAAAGGAACTTGTTTCACTTACTTACGTTGCAATACTTCCTCAGTACATTGTAGATTGCTTCACAGGTCTCAGGAATCACTCTTCCCAATACTTGAGGAAAGATATGAGTAGAAAATTTCAGGTCTTCAAGGGTTCTTCCAGTAGCTAGATAGCGAAGCGTTGCTGTCAATCTTTCATTGGGTGTGATCGCTTTTCTCATGTTTGTATCTTCTTTTTTATGTATGGTGAAACAATACTTAACAGTTCCAGGTAAGTACTTTCATCCATACGCAGGTAGTTGCTCCAGTCTTTTGGAAGACATTAAGTTCTTGA